TGAAGTCACTGATTTTGGATGGGAAACTACGAATTTGTTGTAAAACTTCTCTTCTTGCCTATCCCAGATAGACCGTAACGACCCATTTTCCAACATCTGTCAGAATGGTCATACCATAAAGTGAAATCACCCGTAAAAAAGTTGTGTAGTGAAATCAGCATGTGTGAAATTCCTGGTACGCAATCTTCTAGATTTTTTGAAAAAAAATTTCATCAGGCGGCCCATTCTACAATGGTTTCATAGGCTAGGTGTTCTTACTGTAATCTTATAGTAACGAAGAACGGTCGGTAAATTGTTCAGAGAAAAAAAAAGTAAATCTAAGCTGAAGCCGACATTACACAATGGCTGGTACCTAGAGACGGCGAAAGACATCTAAACAAGAGAGTTATTAACGATCAAACAATGTGCAGACTTTGGGACACCTTGTATGTGGATCCCGCATTAATGGTATCAGCCTACTGGAAATGGATTATTAGGCTAATTGTAGCTTTTTTTTTGATTTTAGAAATTTCGTGACTTCATGGAAGTCTAGTATCTCTTATCAAATTCAGGATTCGCCGGAAGTGGAAGTCGTGCCATCTTCGCCATCGAAACGAGTGAAACGAAAGTATGAATCTAGCTACATTATCATTCTTGTCGCCACTGCTATTGTGAATGCACAAATGAATGGTATTGTGCCCAGCGTGACGAGCTATGCAGCGCTACCGTATTCTCACGTGAGTTTTCGTACTTCTTCATACTACTTCCGTAATTATCATTGTTACAGGCAACGTATCACTATGGTATCACATTGGCAAATATTGTTTCACCTGCGATGTCGTTTTTGCCTTTCTTCTTCACTGTTAGGTTCGTCATAGAAAGTTCTTAGTCCATTATTTACATTATTATTCTCTATTATCATTTTTTATTTTTCCAAAAAAGTTTGTGATTGTGATAGCTTTTACAGGTCTATCCCCTTGCTATGCACTATGACTATATGCTCATCAGTTGTGACTGCTTTCATTATTTTCTTAGCTGCTCTTAGTCCTAATCTCAT